TTCTTTGTACAAAAATGTCCAGTTACCTACAGCCCTTACTAAAGTTGTCACATCTTTAAAGCGTAATAACTCTCTGAGCTGGTGACAGAGTTATTCTATTCTACTTCTCAGACTTAGCTGAGAATACCCTCACCTATACCCCTTGATCAAAATCCCGTTAGTCAGTCAGTAGTAACATATATGGTGTAATTCCTACACCTTGACTTCTGGTATATTATAGTCACAGGCTACAATTGATATAAATAAGCTTAAAGACATGCAAGCCCAATAAGGGGACCAAAGTACGGTTCTGGAGACCAGTGATTCTAATTCCAAGTGGGGTTACTGTACTTAGAGTGGTTCCTAGGTATTGAATCCTGGTACTCCTAACATAGGCTTAGTAATTAGTAGGATTTGTATTCTTTAGGGAGTGAGGATGGAACAAGTAACTACTACCTTCTTACTAGGGGCTATAGTGAGATGGAACATCTTTTTCCCTAAGCTAGTGATAAAGGCAAGGCAGTGAGAACAGGTTTTCAGCCAATAGGAGAAGGTGCGAGTAAAAATTAAAGTGTAGTATTTCTTTGACTGTTGTAACAGTGACAGAGCTGAGCAGTTATTGCAAGAGTCTGACAGTATATAATGTCTACTAAAGTTTATACATGTTCTCCTCTATTCTACCAATCAATTACTCCTATTTATCAAAGAACTCATTAAATGAAGCCATGGATACTACTATATTCCATATTACTATTTTGTTTCCTTAAGTCTACTGTTAAGATAATGAGACTTTTATTTATCTTTTACTACTGAACAATTCATTTCTACATGGTTACACTCTCGGGATTCATCTTCTCATAAGATATCTCCATTATATTTGAGATTCTCTTAGCAGTCATTTCACACATGAAACAAGACTGGACCTGGTTTAGGGTGAAATATATGTAGCTGGCTCTATATTAGAGTAGCTTGGAGCTCTCTGCTTTTACCTGACAAGAGGCAGGATGCAAGTGTTTCTAGCTTTCTTTACAACTTAGTTCATACTGCATGCCAGACTCTTGTACTTTAACAATAAACTATATAATATAAATAAAAATGATAGTTATCACTGGTTCCTGAAACATCTGACTGCTTACTTGCCTATATCCTAAGGTACTCCTGTGGAGTACCTACTAACTCTATATAAGTTGCTAAATTAACATAATCCATGACTCAACTCCTTCTTTTCTAGCTTGACATGATTTTTTTTTTTGACTTAATCCAACTTTTTAATGATTCTACATGGCAATAAGACTTAAGCTTAGCTTGTAACTCTATCATACAAAACCTTCTAGTTTATATATATATATCTATATATTCAATCTTGGTAATTGCTTTATACTCCTAACTATAAGCCTAGAAACTTTCTTTTCTAGGCTTATATTATCTACTTATCTTTTACATATCATTTAGTAGAAGAAGTAAAATTCTTTTCGCTTTTATAGTTTTGTTCAACTATAACCTTACCTCGAATTCCTAAATTCTGTTAATCTTGTAGGTTTTATGAATCTTTTACATTACATAAAGCTCGTACATCATATCTAGTAAACTGCATGTATGAATGAGTAGTATCTGTATATAGAGCTATAATCAGCTACTATGTTGTGCTGTAAAAGGTTATGTTAAACCACAAGTTATATTAAACTGACAAGCACTTCACAGAAGAGCACCAGGTTGTAGGCAAGCTATTGTACATAGACAAAATTAACTGCGATTCAACAGAGGAAAATCTTCAGTGATGACAACCACACTCACCTACCAATACACTATCATAAAAACCAAACAAAAAAGTAAAAGATGTAAATACGTAGTAGAAATTAATATTTGGTATACCATCCATCAGTTTTAATAATTGCCTCTATTCAATCCACCATTGAACAAACTAAAATATCAAAAACCTTTTCATCAAGAAGTTCTCAACAATGAGTGATAGTCTCTACTATTGCCTTCTTGACCACATTGACATCACTCTTTCTAAGATATAGCTCAGGATAGTACTTGGAAGCTTACCTTTTACCAGAGACCAAATATTTTCAATTGGATTCAGATCTGGTAAATAGACAGGAATTCTATCAGTGTAATTTCCTGCCCTCTAAGCCATCTCCTAAAAAGCAAGTGAGTCTTAGCATTGTCAATGATAAAAGATACCTGTTGTTCTCTCGCGTTGTCTGTGATATTCTCCCATATCTCTAGAAAGTCATAATGATCATAAACATCAATAATAGACTTCTCTGTAACTCCACCCCTAGCAGAAGGACCAGGAAAAATGGGCAAAAAAAAGACCACGAGTTTAACTATAAAAACAATCAGTCATCATCTGGCTAATTACTCTCACATCTCTCCTAGCCTTATATTCAATACAATCTTTATTCTATTTCTCATATGGGTATCTGAAAACTCATTTTCTCCTCTTTCCTCCTACTATTTCCATAGCTACCTCATCCCTCCACGTTGCCTTCCTTCTCCACATCTCCTTTATCTAATACCTATGAGCCAATGCCTATTCCAACCTCTCTTGAGCTAGATCCTCATCCAAATGAACTCTCTCTTGTACTATCCACTTTCTAAGATGCTTTTTTTTCAACTTTTCTCCTTACTATCCTACTAGAAACATTGGGAGCAACTTGCTCAGCAATGTCAGAATAGGTAGTATGGCAATTTTGAAGAGCTTCCTCTATTATATCATCATCTTGGTACTTGGTAGTTTTAGGATGTCTTCTTCTACCCTTATTCTCCTTACCTCCTTGATGTCTCTTTGGAAATATGTCTCAGATGATAGTGTAGGAGATATTAAGGTAGTGGGAAATTTGCTGATATCTCATCTGAGCCTTATGTAACCTGAGAATCCTCACTCTCATAAACTCAGCTAGATGGGTGGAGTGAATCAGCTTTTTAGTATGACTGCGAGGAATAGGAGGCATAGTTTCTTGAAAAAAATAATTGTGCAAAATTATTTCTTCTTGGTTGACTTAGAGCAATTTTTTTAAGTACGGTTGAGAGTACAGGGTGATGAAGAGGAGTGGGTTGCTACCGATTATTAAATGACTGTTAATTTTATCAATGCACAATAGCTGCCAGAGGTTGTCACTTTAGTAGAGATCATTATCTATATTCTGTTGCAAAAATCTCTTCTTAATGAAACATACTTTACATAATATTTTTAAGTACAGTGATGTCCATTTAATAATTATATACCTGCCGGGCAATCACAACCACAACACTTAATGAATTCAACTTTACAAAAAATCAAGATACAAAGCCAATTAAGGAATAGATGAAAGTAAATAACTTAAGCTTCAAATAAATCCAATTATCATTTGTATGACCTTCATCTGCATCCAAAACAGCCTGAATTCTCTCAGGCATCCTTTCTATCCAAGCATCCAATGTCTCCTGAAGAATCAAATCCCACTCCTCCTTTGCTGCCTGAAATAATTCTGCAGCACGATGGAGTTTTCTTTCCAATCTGGAGAATCACTTTCTGAGGGCTCTTTTGACTTGTGCCCTGGTGATCTCAATAGGATTGAGATCTGGGGTGTTAGGGAGCTAAAGGGAGCTTTTTGTATCCACTGTCTGCCTCCAATTTTTGATTTTCCTCACCACCATGCCAGGAAGCATTGTCTGCAGCCAGGTAGATATTGTCAGAAGGTCTATCCAGACCTTCTATAAAAGGAATAAGGTATGGCTGTTCAATCTCAGTTCCATATTGGTAGGAATTGAGACCAAGTCTGTCTCTTTTACTAGTCCTTTCCTCCATCCTTCTCTTTCTCACAAGAATTAACTCAGTCCTCCTACTCTTTATTATTGCAGCATAGATACCAATGCTAGTCTTTCCTGACTTAAAGTTTGACTTCAAGTTTTTTCTTTCAGCTCTTTACTAGCTCTTATCCTGACTTTTCTGCCAACAGGATTTGGATTATACATGATAATGGCTTCATCAATAAAAACCACCCAATTCCATACCCCTCTCCAGTTCCTCCTTCTCTATGCAAACTCCTTTCTCTTCTCCTTTTGTCCTTTCCTCTAAAAAGACTTTTTCCTTGGTATCAGAATCTTAAAACCAGCTTCTGAAATGATCTTATCAATAGTAGTCTTGCCAAGACCAATATTTGCCTTTTGGGTAATTTCGTGTAGCACTAAATGAGGCTCAGCAACAATAATAGCCTCTATTGCTCTTCTTTTGGCATCAGTAATCTTGGTGGGTTGGCCTTACTTGAAAGTATAATGGGTATCTCCACCTTTTGTCTTGGCTCTAGTAACTACCTTTTGAATAGTAGCCTTGCAGACCCCAATAGCCTTTGCTATTTTATTATACCCCATATCTGTATGTTTATACAGGGCATCAATTTCCTTATTCTGTTCTTCTTTTACTCAGGTAGAGTGAGGGGGAGCTATAGTCACTGGTGGGATGAGGGTGTGATGGTACTGCGTGGTTGCCACACAGGGGTATAATTATTAAACGGACACAACTGTACCACCTCAACCTCAATACTTTTTCCTTCAGTTTCCTTAATACAGCAAATATGCTACCCCAAAAATGAGGACGTGATTGGATAACATTATAACCTAACCTAATGCAACCCCTCGCTTTACTCGTTACTGAGAAATTATCCTTTTAACTTTGAAAACCCCTTGTCAATACTGGAGAGAATTTCACTCACATGATATCACCCCAAAAACACCTTCAACAAATTCTATCATACATCCCGAGACCGAGTTCCCGACGTCGAAAATTCTCCACAGGCCTAAGTTACCACCCAAACCAAATATGACTGTCACAATCTCCCCTCCACCCCACCCCGTGACATCATTCATATTCCACAACAGAACGATAACAAAGCGTTATTCCAATACCGGTATCATAAAACACCACATTTTTGTTCTCGCGATCAGAGCCAATCCCCTTTCCATACCATCCTACATTCCTTCCCTGCCAAAACATTGATTCTAGCTGGAAGGGAATTACTCAGACATTCCTACTGTTCTCATCAAATAAAATAAAATAAAATAAAATAAAATAAAATAAAAAAAGGATACATATATACAAAATCAAAACCCCCCCTTTTTTTACTTCCCAATTCTAAGATCAATTTTGCTAACAAGCCATGAGAAAGTGAAAAGGGTAAGAATGCCAGTGAAGATGGCGAACGGTTTTCTATGGAGTGCCATGGTTGGGTAGTGATAGGTTACCTATAGCCGGACGAGTTAGTGTGAGTTAACGGTGACATTAGGGAGAAGAAGGCTTCACAATCAGTTCTTTCTTGTGCTGCTCATCTACGACGTTGACAGCCCTCATTTTGATGGCTGTGCGGCCGAGGGTATCCATAAAGGTGTGGTGGAGGTATTCCTCTTCACTAATGAGAGGGATAGGAGGAGAGTATTTAACATCACTCAACGCACTTTTTGTCAGATTTGGTAAACCATAAAGCCGGACCAGAAATACTTACATAGCGCCTTCGGGAAGGACAACGGTGATCTCCATTTCGTCATAAGTAACACTATCCTTAGGGCCTTCTAAGAAAGGAACCTTAAGGATATATCTCTCTCCATCCTGACTGACCCTCAAGAAGTTTTTGAGGTCGTGGTTCCATCCTACAACAAAGGAGTAGTTCCATCCCCCAAAGACAGGGTAACGAGGCTTGAGCTCAAGGTGAGCTTCACGCATGTTGCTGCGGAAGCGTGACGTGGAAACATTGCCAATCTCATCGGTAAAATAGGCATCCTGTGCTCCAGGGATCAGAGTGAAGGTCAATTGCTTAATGGCGCTGGTGGGGGGGTTGTAGTAGCTGGTTGATGCCCATTGCACCCGGGAGAAAGTATCCTTGAGTCTAATAACGCAATTGGTCAGTAATGCTCAAAATATCCGGTTCTCGGATAACTCACTTTGCCCCCAAGTTAGTCATCCAGTAGCGTTCCTGAAAGGCAATATTACCACCCCAATGGCTGACCTCAATGTGCCTTTCCATTCTGATCATTTTAATTACCGGGCTTGTGTACTCAAATCGGAGGGTAATAGCCTTTCCTCCCTTCTGGTCCGGGTTAACAGTCTTGTAAGGTCCATATGTGTACCAACTTCCTGCCCCAGTCGGGTCATCGTTCTCGTCGTTGTTCTCCAGGACGGTAAAATTTGGCACTTCGTTGTTGGGAAACTTGATTTTTGTCTTTTGTTTCTCGGTGATGTATGCCGAAGCGGCGTACTGGGAGCCAGTCCACTGGAGAAACTGCTTGTCGGTTTGGCCGATAAGGGCGGGAACAGGTGTAAGACAATCAGTTTGAGCGAGAGTAATCCACAGCTTTGCCGACTTGCCAGCAGGAAGAGGTGCGCTGAAGAGGACCCTGTAGTACTGTGTCTCACTAGGGAATAAAAGTCAACTTCCAAATTGCCTGTCGCGAATTCGTACCAGATAGAAAAACAAACCTTTTGGGGTTGAACACGGTAGGGCTGACAGCATGTGGCCCACTTTCACCCCTAGCCTCAAAATAACTAATGTTCTCTATAATTCCCTTCGGAACAAGGACATAATACTCGGTCTGAGGCTCCTTAGAGATATTGTCAATAACCATAGCGGTAGTCTCGCGGACATAAGGCTTTGTAATGTCAATGGTCCGCAAAAGATTTGTATTTTTAAAGACAGGCGGAGGAGTGAACTCCTTCGGCTGGACAAGAGTAGAATCTGCGCTAGAGCATGGAGCAAGAGAAAACAGAGAAGCCAATGGCAACAAGAGAGCGCCCCAATTTCGGAGAAAACGCATGGTTGGGATGGTTGGTTGGGGCGGATTGTGTCGGAGTGAAGACTTCAGGAATGAAGCTTCAAGTGTGTTGAGAGGGAGCTTTCTAGACTCAGATTGAGACGTGTTGCGAAGTGGTCCCAGTGTTATGTCAGAAACGCGTAAATTTAGGAACGACACTTACTAGATAATCACGCAGCATATCCGTACTTGTAGAAATGACTGTTGACGTAAGCACATAAGTGAGAATGTGTGATTTAGGTGAGGTTGAAACAAAAGTCCCTTGAACTCAGAAAATAAAGTTCTATAATTCTATTAGTATTTCTGTGCCTACCCACTATACCTCATTTTACTCATAAGTTAGGGAATTTAAGCACAGTTTCTGACATAGGGATAGTGGGGACAACTATTGACATAAGTGCACTATCATATTATTGAAATTTCTAGATGGATGTTGATTGATCAGGGCAGATCGTGGAAGCTGTAGGAGTCTGATGGAGAGTTCAGTTCAATAGATCAGTGTGGAGGTTCAGAGATTGACAGAGTAGATTCTCTATATTTGTCCTTCCCCTGTTACCATGAGAGTGCACGGAGGAAAGTGCACCATGCATGGAGGGTTAGTGATGGGTGTGGTATCCATGGAGGGATCGGGATTCATTATCTATGTTTTACCTATACTGCTGTCTTCACTGTTAGTTTAGAGAACAGGGACGAACGAAATGTTTTCCATTAGACCACCTCTCGCTCTTGTCCACGCACTGCTACCATCATCCTCCACATACTAGTCAATTAGTCTTCCCTCCACCGCTACGCGATCGGTCCTCCACTGTTATTCCTATTAAGGCATATTAGTGTATTGTCTAGACTGAGGGAAACAGTAATTGAGCTCCCAAGAAATCCGACAATTTGCTAGCTTTCGCAGATTAGGGAGGTCAGTGGTATAGTACTCGTACTACCCTCGTATCTATCGTCTAAGGTGTATCGAGGTAATCGCTTCCTGCAATACATAGTCCTGTTGCTTAATCATCACTACCAAATCTTGAAGCCAAGCTAAACCCTAATTTAACGGTTACCCGACCGTGACTAGCAACTATATCAGTAAACTGAACTATGAGGTTTTTCTTCAAATATTTTTGTCCCTCACGTTTTTCTAAACAACCAGCAAAAATGTCATTACAGGCGAAATTAGAAAAAGTTCGCTCTCCAAACCTACAAAATCAACAGCAGGTTTGTTATAACCTTATATTTTGGTCAATTCCCCGTAAATGTCTCAAACTGAATGACGTCTTTGGTGCCGTTATAGGTAGCAGTGGTCCTCTCCGCCGTAGAAGACATTCTCCAAGAACAAAAAACAGAATTCACACCCACAGCCTACTTCGCTGCGTTACTCTCGTTATTGCAACAGGCGACATCCACCTCTGCGGTATTGAATAAAAATCTTGCGGCCTCGACGGTCTACTTGTTGGATCTTGTCACGCCATTTGCACCTCCGCCTTTACTTCGGTCTAAGTTTCAACAGATTCTCTCGCATCTGGTGCCTACGCTTACAGCCCATGATGCTGATGGGCCATTGTTAAGGAGCAGCATTGGCTGCTTAGAGAATTTACTAATAGCCCAAGATGCACCTGCGTGGGCCATTCCTCAGCGGGACATTGGGCCTCGGAGGGCACTAGTAGGGTTGTTGAGCTTGGGACTTGACAATCGACCGAAAGTACGCAAGAGGGCGCATGAAGCCATCACAAAGATTTTGAAGAACCCCCCACCAAGTCCGAGTTTAGATCATCCGGTTGCAGAAATGTGCGCTACAATTACCCTGCAGAGTGTGGCGGATTTGGCGAAGGCGAGTGAAGGACAGAGGAAGAGGAATGGGGAACATGATCCGAGAGTTATACACTCGCTTCAGCTGATTAAGGCTGTTGCAGGCGCTGGTGGTTGGCCAAATAGGAAGGTTGAGGGATTGTGCGAGGTTCTATTAAGCGTTTCAAAGAGCACCAATGAATACGTGATGAGGGCAGCGTTTGGAGTATTTGAAGAGATGTTTGCCAGCTTAGTGGACGGCATGGCCAGTGCAAAGTTGCCGAGAGTGATTGAGGTCATCACCGAACTAAGGCCTTCACAAAACGATTCTCAATTGCTACCATCATGGCTTGCGGTCATCGCGAGAGGATACGAAGTATATGCTCAAGTATCAGAGGGCGAGGCACTTGTGGAACTTCCATCCCTTTTTGAAACCATTGCAGCATTTTTAGGCTCCCAAGCATACAACATCCGAACCTCCGCTGCGCAATGCTTAATCTCACTCGCGACCAGCTGTATCCCACAAAGCTCCCTCTTTGACATCACAAGATCCACGGGGAGAGTTTTCGAGAGAATTACCGTTACTACGACCAACCTGCTTAGTGTTCGCTTCCAAGGAGCCTGGAACCAAGTCTTTGAAATTCTCAGCACCCTATTCGACAAGCTCCGTTGGCGTTCAACCCCGCTCCTCGACGAAGCTGTTAAAGTCATTGGCAGCCTCCGCTCAAATGAAGGCTTCCAGGGTAAGAAAGAAGCAGACGAAGTCCTCGGACGAGCAATCCGTGCCGTGGGGCCGGACACCATCCTCTCCATCCTCTCACTCAACCTGATCAAACCCGCACCTGGTACCTCCGGCCGTGCTTGGATGTTGCCGATTTTGAGAGACTGGGTAGAAAACACCAAACTCCGGCACTTTAGGGAGGAGTTTGTCCCTCTTAGCGAGGCATTCTTCCAGAAAGTGGTGGATTTCGGCGAGGGGAAGGAGAAGACTGTTGAGATTAAGATTTTTGAGACATTGGTGGGGCAGATTTGGGCACTCTTGCCGGGGTATTGTGATTTACCCTTGGACCTTACGGAGGCTTTTGATCAGACATTCGCGGAATTGATTGCCAATGTTCTCTATCAGAAAGTTGATCTTCGGTCGGACATTTGTAAAGCTTTGCAGCGGCTCGTTGACTCCAATAAGGCAGTTTTGGAGGTTCCTCTCGAAGATGGGGAGAATCTGGCGGCTCAACGCCGAGTTTCGAAGGCTGATGCAAAGAAGAATATTGCTCACCTTGCATCCTATTCTGGGAATATGCTGGCAGTTTTGTTTAATGTTTACAGTACGACGCTGCCGCAATATCGTGGGTTCATACTCAAGTGTCTCAATTCTTTCTTGAGCATCACTCCTGACACAGAACTTACGACAACGTTCCAAAAGGTTACTTCGATGCTTGAGGCAACCCTCGCCGAACCCGTCAGGAAAAAAAGCGAGACAGAAGCTGCTGGGGATACCAGGATGCCGCCGATGGCACATACGCTTATGGATTTGGTCATCACCATTACACCATATCTCCCGTCCGGCAGTCACCTGACACTTTTTAGAATCTTTTCTGTGACGGTGGACAAGAGCGAGGACCCGCAATTGCAGAAAAAGGCGTACAAGATCATACCACGACTAGCAGAGGCAGAATCTGGCAAGCAAGCATTAATTCAGAAATCTGAGGATCTACAAAATTTCCTAATAGATGCTGCTGAGAAAGCTACTTCTCCTGCTAGAAGAGTAGATCTCCGCTCCATTCCTATTAATCAGGGCACTTACTAACTATATACTAGGACCGCCTAATAACTCTCTCCCAACTTACCGAATTCCTCCCAACCACAGATCTGCACTTCATTCCATCAATCCTTTCCGAGGTAGTTATCTCTACAAAGGAAGTCAACGAAAAGGCCCGCACAGCAGCTTTTGACCTGCTAGTCCTCATGGGAGAGAAAATGAAATCCGGCGGCGTGGTAATAAATAGCAAGGTAACCCATATGCCCTCGGACGCCTCGAATGTCGCTGCAACACTCGACGAATACATCACCATGGTCTCCGCTGGTCTCGCAGGCAGCACGCCACACATGATTAGTGCGAGTATAACCGCCCTTACCCGTATCTTATACCAATTCAAAAGTTACCCCCCATTCCTCCCCATAGTCTACCTCTAAGACAAAGTGCTAACGACGTGAAGATGATATAAGCAAGCCCCTTATCTCGGAAATTATAACAACCTTAGACCTCTTCCTTGCCAGCAAGAACCGTGAAATCGTCCGCTCAGTTCTGGGCTTTATAAAGGTGTGCATAATCTCCCTACCAAAGGAAACTATGCTGCCCAGGTTCAACACCTTAATTCCGAACTTGATGATCTGGAGCCACGAGCACAAAGCACATTTCAAAGCGAAGGTCAAGCATATTATAGAACGCATGGTCCGACGCTTTGGCTATGAGGCTGTGGAAAAGCACGTTCCAGAGGATGATAAGAAACTGGTAATTAACATCCGGAAAACTCGGGAGCGGAGGAAGAAGCATAAAGACGCCATCGCCGCCCCTAGCTGTGATGAAGACGGTGGCGATGTAGAAGTAGATGCTGTACCGAAAGCGAAACGCCAGAGTAGGTTCGCCTCAGAATTCGAAGCTGCAATTTATGACTCCGACTCCGACATGTCTTGTGACTCGGACGCTGAAGTTGATTCCACCCCGCGTCGGAAGAACAAGCGTGGTGGTAAATCTGGCGAAGCATACATCCACGAGGGAGAAGACGAACCACTCGACTTGCTCGACCGGAAATCCATAGCGAACATTTCTTCTACCCGACCGCAACGCGCCCGGTTTGGGGATTTGAGAAAGTCTGCTACAGCGAAGGCAAGGACTAATAAAGATGGAAAACTCATTCTCGGTGGGGAGGACAATGACAACGCAGAGAGGAGTGAAGATGTGGAAATGGGTACTGGGCTTACACCCGCTGATGGCGTGAATGCATATGTGCAGGCGATTGCTGGCAAGGATGCTCTCGCACGCGGCCAACGGGGGCGTCTTAAGTATTCTAATAGGAAAGGGAGACACGATGGCGATGGCGATGATAATAGTGATAGCGAGGATGAGGGAATGGAAATTGACTCGGGGAAGACTGGGAAGGGTCTCTATTCTTCAAGTGCTGGGAGTGGAGGGAGGAAAAAGGCATGGAAGGAGATGAGTGGGCGCAAGGGACTTGGTGTGAAAGGTGTCCGTGAGGGGAGGGTCGGAAAAATTCCTAGGAAGAAGGGGAGGAGATAGCCTGAAGTGAGATTGGAAAGTATGTTTATAGTTGCATCTGTGCTGGTGTTTTTGCCCCGTTGGTGATATGTTTGGGGAATGATTAAAATCTTTTGACAAACTTGTAATTTGAGTCTTGCAAGTTTCATAAATTGTAGTACTATTTGGTAATAGGTATTATGTATTATCAATACCGTATAATATAATATAAAATGTGGAGTACAGTCGTGTCCGGAAAGTTTTCGTACCCCTGAGGTGCAACCCCGCAACACCTCATCACCACAACAATTCTCCTCACCATGGCCCCTCCACATAACCTAAGAGCAAGAGAAGACCTGAATAAGGAAATTTATACTCTGTATAAATATACAGATATGGGATATGACAAAATTTCTAAGTCTTTAGGTGTATCCAAGTCAACTGTTCAGTCTGTGGTCAAAAGAGCTAAATCTAGGGGTGGAAACACTCACCATGCAAAAAGAGGTGGAAGACCAACCAAGATTAACCAACATAAAAAGAAAGATAGTGGAGTCAGTTATCGATAACGAGCCTCATTTAGTGTTATGCGACATTACCAAAAAAGTGAATATTGGTCTTGGTAAAACCACTATTGATAAGATCATAGCAGAAGCTGGTTTTAAGCTTCTGATACCTAGGAAAAACCCTTTTTGGAGAAAAGAACAAAAGGAGAAAAGAAGAGAATTTGTTAGGAGAAGGAGGAACTGGAAAGGGGCATGGAATTGGGTTGTTTTTGTGGATGAAGCTACCATTGTTTATGATCCAAATCCAACAGGCAGAAAGGTCAGAGTTAGACCTGGTGAAGAGCTGGAAGAAAAAAAACTTAAAGCCTAGCTTTAAGTCTGGAAGGACTAGCATTGGAGTATATGCTGCAATGATGAAGGGAGGAAAGACTGAGTTAATTCATGTGAGAAAGAGAAGGGAGGAGGAAAGAACCAGTAAAAGAGACAGACTTGGTCTAAACTCTCACCAATATGCAAATGAGATCCACCAGCCTTACCTTATCCCTTTTATAGAGGGTTTGGATAGACCTTCTGACAATATCTACCTAGCTGTAGACAATGCTTCCTGGCATGGGGGTGAGGAAAATCGAAAATTGGAAGCAGACTGTAGTTACAAAAAACTCCCTTGGCCACCCAACTCACCAGATCACAATCCTATTGAGAACACATGGGCACTACTCAAAAGAGCCCTTACTGAGCGATTCTCCAGACTGGAAAGAAGGCCTTATAGAGCAGCTGAATTGTTTGAGGCAGCAAAGGAAGAGTGGGATTTAATTCTCCAAGCGAAGTTGGATAGATAGATAGATAGGATCCCTGAGAGAATGCAAGCTGTACTGGATGCAAATGGAGGCCATACAAAATGGTAATAATGTTTTTTTATTGTCTACTAGTAATACTATCATGTTTTCTTTAATTGAATTCTTTACAGTTTTTTTGAAATTTTTATAGTTGGGGGTTGTGGTTGTGTGATTGTCATGTAAGTGTTTGAAAACTTTCTGGATACGACTGTACAGTACAGATTGTGTGTGGATAAAATTAACCGCTATTCAACAGAGGAAAATATTTTGCGATAACAACCACACTCACCCACCAATCCACTATCATAAAAACTAAAAAAAAAATTAAAACATGTAAATACATAGTAAAAATTAATATTTCGTATACCATACATCAGCCTTAATAATTGCCTCTATTCTATCCACCATTGATTTAGCTCAAGTATCAAAAACCTTTAGGTCAAGAAGTTCCCATCAATGAGTGATGGCCTCTACTCTTGCCTTCTTGACCACATTGACATCACTCTTCTTAAGATATAGCTCAGGGTAGTGCTTATGAAGCTTCCCTTCCACTAGAGACCAAATATTTTCAATTGGATTGAGATCTGATGAATAGGCAGGAATTTCCATCTGTGTAATTTCCTGCCCTCCGAGCTATCTCCTAAAAGGCAAGTGAGTCTTAGCATTGTCAATGATAAAAAATACCTCTTCTTTTCCAGCCTTTTCTCTGATATTCTCCCATATTCCTAGAACGTCATAATGATCATAAACATCAATAATTGACTTCCCAGTAACTCTACCTCTAGCAGAAGAAGAATCAGGAAAAACAGGCAAAAAAAGACCATAAGTTTGACTATAAAAACAACCAGTCATCATCTGACTAATCCCTCACTCCTCTCTCCTAGCATGAGATTCAACACAATCCTTATTCTATTTCTCATATGGGTATCTGAAAACTCATTTTCTCCTCTTTCCTCCTCCCCCTTCCACAGCTACCCCATCCCCCCATATTGCCTTCCTTCTTCACATCTCCTTTGTCCAATACCTATGAGCTAATGCCTATTCCAAGCTCTCTTGAGCTAGATCCTCATCTAAATAAAATCTCTTTTGTACCATCTACTTTCTAAGATGCTTTTTGTCAAGTCTTCTCCTTACTGTCCTACTAGAAGCATTGGGAGCAACTTGCTCAGCAATGTCAGAATAGGTATTATGGCAATTTTGAAGAGCTTCCTCTACTATAGCATTATCCTGTAACTTGTTAGTTTTAGGATATCTTCCTCTACCCTTATTCTCCTTACCCTCTTAATGTTCTTTTGCAATTGTGTCTCCGACAGTAGTGTAGGGGATATTAAAGTAGTGGAAAATTTGCTGATATCTTATCTGAGGCTCATGTAACCTGAGAATCCTCCTCCTGGTAAACTCAAAGAGATGTGTGCAGGGAATAGGTTTTTTGGCATGACCGTGAAGAATAGGAAGCAAAGTTTATTGAAAAAAAAGAATTAAGTCGAATGATTTCTTTTTAGTTGACTTAGAGCAAGTTTTTTAGGTACTGTTGAGAGTGCAGGGTGATTAAGAGGAATGGGTTGCCACCAATTGTTGAATCACAGTTAATTTTGTCAACACACAATATCATAACAACAAATAGCACTATCAACTACAATGATAGAACTATAGAAGCTTATATATTAATTTTGTACTATGATTCCAAAAGCTAAACATCTGTACTAAGGTGGTTTTTAGCACAGTGACAGCTGAGTTGTAAACCTACCCAAACTGCAGTTTCAGTGGATTTTCCTGTCAAACTGTGGTTTGAATGTGCTGGGGTATTTGGCTGAAGGTGGCTTTCTAACACTGATCTCTACAGTTCAAAACTACAGTTTGAAAATAATGTTGTGTAAGGTAACATTTAGTATACAAATCCTACTTCTCCTAACATTAGTTATACTTAATTAATATTGCTTAATTGGGATTTAACTTCTTCTCTTGATTATTAATTTCTTTATCTTTGACTTCAATTTTTACAATATCTTTTTGGTATCATAGTTAGTACAAAAATTCAAAAATATATAGTAACTGAATTTAAATATATAGATTCGACTTAAGTATAGCATCTTGAAATGATGGATAAAAATATATTTTATCTAAGTATTGTAGCTACCCTTATATATTATAAAGTAACAAAAAATAAACAGTAATTACAACTAAGTCTGGCCACCAGAGGCAGCAATTACTACCTCAATCCTTTATAGCATTAAGTCAATAAATGTCAAAAGATCAATTTTTGAGATATTTTACCATTCATTTTTAATAGTATATACAATTTCTCCTATTGGCTGTACTTGTAGACCCTTTGTCACAAACCTGACTTGGCATGAAAAAGGTTTTCACATGACTCATGATTATGAGTCATAGGTATGTTATTGTTTTACACATATGACTCTTTTAGGTCAAATGATTAATTAGGTTATAATTTGTTATGTTTTGTACATGACTCAATTATGAGTCATAGGACATGAGCCTGGCAAGTGTGCCTTGTGAGTTTACCTTGGAGGTATGCCTTGTGCATATGATTTATGATTTACATATAACCTCGTTATGAGGTCATGGGTTTCGTGCATGTGACTCATTCGAGTCTGATGACTTGTTTATTGTGTTATGATTGGATTATGAGTTTTCACATATAGCCTTGCTATGAGGTCATGGGTTTTGAGTATGTGACCACATTGGTGACATGATTAGTTTGTTATGCTTTGGTTTTGCACATGTGACCACTTTGGGTCACATGACTGTGAGTGGGAAGAACACTATATAAGGAGGCCGATAGGACCGAAGAGGATAGGTTCTTTATGCTTGGTTCTAAGTACTTTTTCTGGTCCTTGCTGTCGCTTCGACCCGAGTGCTTGTTTCGCACCCATGGTGGGCCTTGATGTCTTGTATTCTGGGGGAGATATCTGAGTTCTCTCAGTAGTTCCTAGGGTTCTTAGTGTTGAGGTCTGTTGGCTTTGTGTGGCGGATTACTTGTTTGCCACTCGTTTCGTTGCCTCATGGTGTCTCACAATACTGTCACCCTGAGCACTTCATGACGGTCGCTTACGAGCCTCTTGTAGTAAAATATCTTTAGCTTCCAGTCTATTGTCTACATGCAGGTTTCACATTCGATTAGGGAGGATTGAACATTGTGTTTAGGGGGATCACCAATGTCGTTCTCGGGGCCAACTCATATTTCTTGTTAGGTTTTAACAGAATCCTGAGTTCTCACAATACAAAACACTGTTGGGTTAGACTGATGACCTTCTGAAGTATCAACTTGTCGTACCAGCTGCACTATTCCTCAGGTGGCGGGGTAGTGCCAGGCCAGCCCCTCCTCATTACGTTTTCGTTTCACCCGCCGGAATACTAAGATGTTGTTTATTACAGTTTGCTTGGAGTTTTTGTCCTTGCGGCATTAACAGTAATTCAGACAGGTGTCTCCTCCTTGCCTCAGTGGGGATGGCTTTGACCCTGAAAAATGTTACCCCCTGGCATAGTTTTTCATTGCTGCCTGGAATGGTGTGTGACAATTAGCTGCCAGACACTCGCGTTGTCTGGGTGTTTGGGTGGTTTGGTTGTGGACTGTGGTTGGCGGCTTCACCTATTGCAAGTGGGGCCTACCTTCTGTTTGTCTGCTCCTGTTTGCTTGCCCTCCCCCTTCATGTCACATCAGTTGGGTGTGCCTCTTGCCTGT